TCTAAAACCATAGTCCCCTACCTAGCATCCAGTAGATCTGGAACTACAGATGTGCCCCACTATGCCATGTTTACTTGTTGAATCAGGTCTTGCTAACTTTTTGCCAACTGTAATTGTCTAATCTCTGTAATTATGCACATGTCACCACACCCATGCCCTACTTTGCCCTTTTCTATTTTTTTTCTTACAGTAAGTTTATATACAGTAGTCACAATATGTAAACAAAAGGAAGAGGAATTCACTTATCTTCAACTGGCCTCAAAATGTATCAAGTCCCCTTCTTTTGCAAATTAGCCATTAGAATGGCAATGGCTCTTACCTTGGTTATTGTTTAGAAACATATTGTTGAAACTTTAAAATTTCTGTTTTTAGGGGATGAGTTACGTCACATAGTTTTATTTAGATATACCTCACTTACCATTCAAATAATTTATTTAAAATGTGCAATCTAATGTTTTCTACTTGTTCTCAGAGTTATGAACCCAGCACCACAACCAACTGTAGAATATTTTCATCATTCATCAAAGAAATTCCATAAGCATTAGCTTTCTCCCACCCCAATCTATATCTCCTCTCTTGCTCTTCCTTGGTAATTGGTCTGCCCCTGAGATTTCAATGTCCTATCTAAGAGGGGAGGTAAACGAATGTGGAATTTAAAACAATAGGGGTATATCTATCTCGTGTTCTTGTTACAATCCATAATTATAATATCGGTGTAATGTTTGAGGTTCAGGAACTACTCCTTTTCCCAACTTAGTGCCTGTATTTTGGTTGAGGTTACCTCATTCTTTAGTTCCAGGATAGACCCATTAGCAGGCTCTGACAAATTTGCACATTGTATCTTTTTTTAGCCAACCTTGCTTTGTTACTCAGTATAAGTCAATGAAATTCAACTGAGTTGTTTCAACGGAAATATTTCTTAGAAAAGAGCTGCTTCTTTTCCTGGGTCACTAAGGTAAAGTAACTTTGGCTTCAAGATTCTGGTGACTATGTTTGCCAAGAGAGAAGAAAGAGCTGCTTAAAGAAGGAAGAGAATGAAACAGGGAACACCCAGGCAGAGGCTATGAAATTATGTACACTATTATACATAGATATGTTTATATACCTATATCGAACTTTCCTTGATGCCAGCTCCCTCTATACTCTGTCTCCAATGACAGAGTTAGATTCAGAGTTAGACCCAATGATTGCAGTGAGAGACAAGGAGCAGTTAGGGCAGTAAGTTCTTCATGTTGTCTGAGAGCAATTATTGAGAATTGATACAGACTTACCTAAGTAAGTCTAAAGAGAGATCCAAAATGAACAATGTGACTAGGGCCTACCTAGTAACCAATATTGAGAGGCAATGAATTACAATAATTTAGTCACTTACCCATTCTTCCTTCTTTATTCAGGCACTATTATTTTCCAGACAATGTTCAGCTTGGTGTGCAAACCACAGAAGTTGCCAATGAAAGTTCTGGCACGCATACATGCTCATCCATCTTATGGCCAAGGACGTAATACAGCCCTCTGAATGGTCTAATGCTAAAGCCTTGAATATTTATGATGCTGAGATTGCCTAGCTCTTCCTCATTTACTCTGACCGCAGGCAACTATTGTGGAGTTCAATAAAGTAAGGAAAGTACACAATAAGAGAACTAAGTGTAAATTTAGTGAGCATTTTTTTTCTCTTTCAACTTGCAGAATTTAGAGCAATTAAAAAACATGACTGTACAGATAATGTGATTTGCTTGTTCTGAGTAGAGCAGTCTGCTTTTCAGTCACAGGCATGCATCAGGACACAGAACACCAGGCTTTGTTAGGGACCATGATGCCAGGCATCAGGTCAGTTCCTCATTCTGACAGACAAGCAGTTGGACACAGAGTATAAAGGAGTTTCTTGTGCTGTCCTCAAAGGCAAAAGACAGATCTACAATTTGTAAGATCCCAGTGAAACTAAAACGGAAGGCCAACTTTCCAAAAAGCAAAGAAACAAAAAAGTAAGTATTTTTCTTATGAGTTCAGCTGGACAATAGTGATTTCCTAACACGTATAAAACCTGGGTGGTATCCCTAGAGCAGCAAAAACAACAGAATTCTGGGTGTACCTAGCTCTGAATCACTGCAATACTACTATTCTACATTTATTATTTCTTCACTTTAAAGCTAGATCTCAGGAAAAAGCATTATAAAATAAAATTCCTGGTTAAGAGATTATCCTTATCTTCTAAAAGTACATATTTGAGAGTACACAAATAGTATAATGATTATTCTTATAATATACAGATTGACTGTAGATGAAATTTAGGTAAGAATAAACTGTAAAAAGGAGATAAGAATATCCATTATACTGTACTTAGAAGTGTTAGTACAAAAACAATTTAAAGCTATATACCTGCTAGAGAATTATACTTCCTATGAATGTTTCCTAATCTGACAAGTCAGGGAAGTTAGTGAAACATTGAATATTAATATTAGACATATAAAAATTGTATTTTTGTTATGAACCAGTATTTTACTTTTTTTTTTTTTATTGCCAGTCATGGTGCCTGAACTCTGGGCCTGGGCACTGTCCCTCAGCTCTTCAGCTCAAGGCTAGTGCTCTACCGCTTGAGCCACAGTCCACTTCCAGCTTTTTCTGCTTATGTGGTGCTGAGGAATCGAACCCAGGGCCTCATGCATGCAAGGCAAGCACTCTACCACTGAGCTACCTTCCCAGCCAGTATTTTACTTTTGAAAAATACAGAAAACTCCAAAGATGCCTGCACTGAGTAGACATATATAATTAATTTTTTTTAGCCTACTGAATTCTCTCTCTCTCTGACCCCCGTCTTTGTATGTCTAAGAGTGAATGTAGCATCTGTGTCATTGGGCATGACTTTTGAGTATTTGCTAATAATTTAATGTTTAAAATTATTTTATTATCTAAAGGTTACAATAATCTAAAATTACTGTAAATGTCATTCAAAAACAACATTGCTACATTCCATTAATATTTGGTGGATGAACACCTAATAACAAATATATTGCAAACTTATTGAAGCTATTTGGGTGTCTGTGCCAGCCTTGGGGCTTGAACTCAGGGCCTAGGAGCTGTCCTGGAGCTTTTTGCTCAGAGAAGTGTTTTATCACTTGGCCACAATACCACTTCTGGCTTTTTAGTAGTTAATTTGTAGATAAGACTCTCATGGACTTTCTTTGAACAATGAACTTCAGATCTTAGTCTCCTGAGTAGCTAGAATTATAGTCATGTGCTATTTTTATAATGACCTTATACTGATACAGTGACTGATAAATTTTTGCTTAGTAGCTGCACAAATGAGACAGGGTCAGAGGCCCATTGTTTTAGCATCATTTTTGGTTGCCATTCTAGAAATTTGAAAATGTATAAAATTTGTCTTTATCTTGAAAGTATCAGTAAAACTATTATAAATTTGGGTATGTTTTCAGGAAAGTAGATTTTGGAAAAGCATATTATTTCTTAAAAAATGTTTACATTTGTATACTCCTTATAGAATGAGCTTAATATATCTGTGATGTGTATGTTGGTATGAGACTATTCTTGATAGGACCCATTCCAGATAAACAAAATACCCACCTATCTACAACATATAACTGTGGATCCAGGAAATGGCATTTACAAAGTTATTTGGTGTTCTTATTTTAAAACTTTTAGATAATTACATGATACAAATATGATATTTTCTAATGGTTCTGTGCTTTGGACACTTTTTATGGAGAGATTTTTAGCAGTACTTCATATTTTAAAGTTGACAAGTTGAAAAATAAATATTCATAACGATTATAAAAACACTAGGTGTATGTAATGCCCTAAAGCTATATTTATATATAACAATACAGTTACAGACTAGCATTAAAAATTTCATCCATATTAATAACCTGTTTAATAATCAATTCTGTGACCCTGAGTTTAGCTGACTGGACCATTATTCCACATCAAGTTAGAAATTCTAGCTTGACCCATAAACAACAAGTTGGTAGATCTTTTATTTGGCTAAGAATAGTAATAACTTGGAAAATAAATCTAAAAATTTTGTTCACTTAAATTAAATGCCTTAGGTATACACAAGAGGGTTAAGTAAAATATATTCCTACCTGGTAAATTCGCTAATATAAAATGACTAAACATTGAATATATACAAATTGAAATGAGTTTTAGAATAATTTGAAGAAAAATGTTCTAAGAGATTAGTACTTTAGATTATAAAAATACATCTTAAGGGCTGGGAAGTTGGCTCAGTGGTAGAACGCTTGCCTTGCATGCCTGAGGCCCTGGGTTCGATTCCTCAGCACCACATAAGCAAAAAGAAAAAAGCTGGAAGTGGCACTGTGACTCAAGTGGTAGAGCACTAGCCTTGAGCTGAAGAGCTGAGGGACAGTGCCCAGGCCCAGAGTTCAGGCCCACGACCGGACCCAAAAAAAAAAAAAAAAAAATCTTAAACCAAAATTTTAAATATAAAACACATAAAATAGCATATGATGAGATAGAAGTTTACAAATAAAATATCTTCCCTAATAATGTTAAAAGCAAATTTTAAATGTAGAATTGGCATGAGAAATATTTTACAAAATATTATATAATGAGCCAGGTGCTGGCAGCTCACACCTGTAATCCTAGCTACACAGGAGGCTGAGATCTGAGGATCACAGTTTAAAGCTAGCTAGACAGGAAAGTAACCACCAGAATATTGGAAGTGGCGCTGTGGCTCAAGTGGTAGAGCACTAGACTTGAGCTAAAGAGCTGAGGGACAATGCTCAGACCCAGAGTTCAAGCCCCATGACCAACATAAAACAATAATCGACTTAAAAATTGCAGGATCTGCTTCATCAGAAGAAACTGAGTATTGCTCCTCAGTATAAAATTTGATGCTGTCATTAAATAAAACTTCTGTACTAAAAATAAAATTAAAGGAGCAAAACAAGTAAAATATATTGAGTCACACTGAAAATCAATTATTACTATGAAAATAAATATTTTAAAAGGTGAAAATAACCAACCTTTTTTTTTCAAGGGAGGCTCTTCTATTTCTCCTAAATGAAGATAAAAATATTAAATTAGAAAAGTTTCTTAACATGGGGAAATATGGCTAGTTGTGCATTTTTTTCCGTTTACTCTTAAAAACCCTCTTATGTCTGAAAATCATAGTTCTTTTATTTTGCTTTCCAAATTCCTAACTGGTAATTTTGATTATGTACTTTTATTTGAGATAGCTTTATTTCTATGAGTTCAATAAAATTGTGGCTGTGGTCCAAATTATACATTATAGATCATATATCATAATAATTTCAATTCCTTGTTCATCGTGACTTGTCATGGTGCTAAAACAAATATATATTCAGACAAAATCATGGAAGAGGCCTCTCACTATATGAGCTTTTCTGTTAGCCAAGTCTGAATACATAATTTCTGGTGAATAATCTTAACCTGAAAATATGTCATTTAGCCAACAGAATCACTGTTCTTTGTCCTTTCAATACCCATTCAGTGGTAGCTTATATATAAGAGCTTATTTTGCTGTTTCCTTTTATTCACTAATATATATGAGAGAGCTGAATAATTATGTGACATTTAGAATGTGTCCTTCCACTCTATGCTTCAATTAGGTTCAACAAATTGATTGTTTAAATTGTGCGTTTAATAAGATAGTTTCCTGATGTTTGACGCTGAACAAAAGTAAGGTTATAAAGCATATCTATTTCTTATTTAATGTTTTTATTTCAGTCTTCCTGGAGATAAACCTGAAAAATAGCCACAATATTTTCTCAGAGAAGTATATTAAATATATGTGTCTATTATGGGCTTGTAGGTGTGTATAATAAGATTCTTTGTATTATAATGCTACCATAATAGTAGCATCAAATTTTGACATTTTTCCATAGTGGCAGATAAATTATAACATGAAAATCAAATAGAGATCAATTTAGTCTATTTTGCAGCTTACTGAAATACTTTAGTATTCAGAAATATATTGATTCAACCTGACCTAAGTGTTCATTTGGGTAAACCTTAACAAGTTACTGTCACACATATCTAATATTGGTCCCACCAGTTAGATATAACTCTATATTCTCAGTACCTTTATCAATGTCCTCTTCCACATCATCATCTTCATCATCAGCCTCAGATGAGATGATGTCAGACAACAAAGAAAAGAAGCCATAGACCCAGTCTGTGGTTTCCTCCACAGCATCATGTACAAGTTTGAGAGGATCTGACCCAATCCTGGCAATGGAGCTTGCTAAAAGTAACGAGAAACAAAACAAACATTTCACAGTCATTCCAAAAGAAACTAAGAAAATTTGGTTTGTATTTTCATAATTTGTTTTTTTGACACAGTGAATATATCAATTTCTAAAATTTAAATACCCACTAGCTATAATATTTTGCATCAAAATGGAAAATGTTATGCTGTATAATGCTTAAGTAAAAAGAGAAATTATAGAGCCTGATGCTGGTGGTTCATGCCTATAATCCTAAATATTCAGGAGGCTGAAATCTGAGGAGCACAATTCAAAGCTAGCCTGGGTCTGAAATTCCATGAGATCTTATGTCTATATAACTACCAAAAAGCTGGAAGTGGAGCTTTGACTCAAGTAATAGAGCACTAGGCTTAGCCAAAAAGCGCTCCGGATCAGCTCCCAGATCCTGTGTTTGAGCCCTAGGAGTGCCACATTTCTGTCAGTTAACTAAAGTATTTGTGGTCAAATTAAGACCAATTGGTCTATTTACTATAATTCTTTCTTTTTTTTCTTTTTTCTTTTTTTTTTTTCCAGGGCTGAGGACTGAACCCAGGGCCTTGCGCAAGCCAGGCGGGCGCCCTTCCTCTGGGCTAAACCCCTACCCCCTATAATTCTTTCTATAGAAGGAAAAACCTGTAATTTCAGGACAGTGATTATGTCAAGTGCAAGCTTCATTCAATTAGTTTTATAATTATTAAACATCCTAGTACCTTAATTAAAAAATATTTAAACTTTTAGTAATATCAGTAAATCTTTTTATTATATCTTAGGATATTTTTAAAACATGGATAATGAGAAATTAAATAATAAAAGTTCAAGTAAATAGCAAGGTTAGGGATTTCCAAAGATTGTTTTTTTAATTTTCTAATTATTTGAAAATTGCTCTGAAAAAGCAAGAGTAACCTTTAAGATCTAATTAAAGAGATGATCTAAAAATTGGTAGAAAAATTCACCTGATTTTTCATCAATATGTAATTCAGTTTTAGAGCTATGTTTTTCCTACTTAAAAATATTTTAGGTTTTTAGAGTATCTATCCTTTTCCAGAGATCCAAATTATATCAGTGTATTATATCATCTAAAGGTTAAGTATTCCAAAATAAAGCTTTTATTCTGATTGAGATAGGAAGTCATTGAAAGGTGGAGCAGATGAATAAAATGCTTAAGCGTAAGAAGCCTTTTATTTCCTGTGCTGAAAATCTAAATGATGACAGTTAGAAACAGTCAGACAATGAGCAGCCAAGTGGAATAATTTGGAAGAAAGATGACGGTAATTTTTGGTAGTCTAGTAACCGCATATGATATGAGATGTGGTCAGGTTCTGAATGTAATTCTGTGAATTTAATTAACGGTATATGCTTTCAATTTGGCTCTGAGACGTGAGAAAAGAAAGTTACCAATATAACTTCAACATTTTTGGTATGAGAAACAGTAAGGATAGAAAAATCACATCTAGTAAAATAGAAGAGGCCAAGAAAAACAAAAACAAAAACAAAAAACATCTAGCTTTCCTATATTGAGAGGAAGGGTAAAGTAAAAAAAGTAGCCAAGTTTTAGACTTCCCAAACTTATAATGCCCATTAGGCAACTATATACAAATATGTATATATAGATAAAAATGTAGTATATACCTATAACTTCCAATTCAAATTACATACACAGAGAGAGATACACATCTGTATATGTACATAATTGAACAACATCAACAAAAGCTATCAAATTGAGAAGTGGAAATGAGGTTTGAGGATAATATGGGCAAAGCATAGTGAGACTCTTATCTTGTAAAAACAGGCCAGGTATGGAGATCCATGCCGGTCATCCCAGCTATGCAAGATGAACACGTAGGAGAATCATGGCCCAGGTTGGCTCAATCAAAATTTCAATTAAAGTAAAAGAAGGCTGAGGATATGGCTCAGGGGTAGAGTACTTGCCTAGCAAACATGAGTCCCTGGATTCAAAGCCTAGTATTAAATAAATAAATAAATAAGTAAATAAATATCTACAAATCAAAGTTCTACCTCAAGTTAGGAGCTTGTGAATGCAATAAGGTTGAGAAGCTATGGTATTACTTAGGGAACCAGGAAAAATTCACTATTTAGAAAGCAAGGATGTAAAGCATCTAAAGAGAAAAGACAACATACCAAGAAGAATAAAGTGATCAAGTGGCCAAGAGGACTTTAAGTACCATGACATCTAAGAATGCTCCTGTTTTTTAAATTTTGTTTTATTATAAAGATGTTGTACAGACGGGTTACAGTTACATGAGTAAGGTAATGAGTACATTTCTTGTCAAGCATTGTTACCCCCTATATTATTGTTACCATATAAGATGATGCTAAGTGAAATGAACCCCAAAATATGGACATAAGAAGTCTTTCTTTGTTGTTGTTGTTGTTTTTAATGTACTATGTGATTTTTTTTTGTTTCCTTTGTATGTTCTTCCCTCTGTTATCACTGTATGTGATTTCGGTACCCTGCATCTTGTATATACATTTGTCTAATTTGGGGAAGAGAAGGGGAATAACAAAACACTGAAACAAGGATACAGGATGACCCATTGCAACAATGATGCCCACAAGACACTATATGGAAATGAACTTTACAACTTCAGGTGAGAGGAGGAGAACAATAAAGAATGCTCCTTTTGGATACAATGTGACTGATGTCATCGAAGAGATTCATCAAAGTGCCTTCAAGGTCAAATGGGAGAACATGGAGGGGGTCAGTAAGTATATTTTACTGCAAATGAGAAAGATGGAGTTATATTTGGAGAGCCACTTGGATTACAGTTGTTGTTTTTAATAAATTGCATTATTAAAATGGAAAGAATCAACATTGGCTTTGACTAAGGAGAAGAGAGGGAAATGGGGAAAGTATTCCTACGCAAACTTTTTATTTGACGTTTTTATTTTTGTGGAGTTGGTGAACAATACAGACCAGCAATGATCCCAAGTGATGAAACAGTAGTCTCAGGGAATCCTATCTCTGTGATTATTGATAACATGCCTTCACATTCTCCATCTTATTTTTACTGCGTTCAAGAGTTTTATGAGAGTATGAAAAAATAGTAGTCTGAATGTTGAGATTAAATCTTAGAGAAAGGAAATGAATTGTTAATTGCCATTGAGAACTCTCAACGATATGGAAGAACCTAGATTGTGCTGGCCCCATTAAAGGCATTTTTATCACTAAGTTATTTCTAGTAGCAATGCACTAGAAATACGATTTTTATGATTAAAGTAGAGGAGAATATTTCCTTGTTCCTCATCTTTTTAAAGTGTTAATTGAGGAAGTTCACAATAAAATCCTACCAAATAGTTGCCATTCTATTATGCCCATGCTAAAAGGCTCCATGTGAAGTTAGCTGCTCCAGGTACATGGTATCTTCAAATCAGAACATTTTCAGAAAAGCAAAGTTTGTAACATATGAATACATTCTGATTTTCAGACAGGTGAACAACTTCTTCAGACATCATCTCCAAACCATATCAACAGTGAATAAAAACAATGCAACTCAAACATTTATTGATTTTTTTTAATGCTTAACAACAAAGATGGAACTTAAGGCTTCATGTTCTCACTTTTTTTCCTTCCATATCTTTTCTACTTTCTTGTTTTCTATTTCATTCCAAGCTAACAGTAAAGCCAGAAACTAGAATAATAAGTAACATAAATCCAAGGTAGGCAAGAATTCCAAAATTGTTGACCTACACTTTTATTTTTCAATATTTTAGTTGAAAGATTTATTTCAATCTTTCTAATGTTACACACTTATAATGGATTACTACAAGAATTGTATTCCTACTCTCATTTTTTTTTCTTAAAATACACAGGAAGAAGGCCGCATGCTTGTATATTCTTTCTTCTTCAGAAAAACATTAGGTAGTTTAGCTATATCTACAATAGTGATCATTTCTTGCACAAAAATAGTTTCTGCACTAAAGAGTCTCATTTCTTTTTTAAAAATTTTATTGTAAGAGTAATGTGCAGAGGAGTTAGAGTTATATAAGTCGGGTAATGAATATATTTCTTATCGAACAGTGTTACTCCCCACCTCATTTTCTCCCGCTTTCCCTCCCCCAACTCCCCTTCCCCCCAAGTTGTAGAGTTCATTTCTAACAGCGTCTTGTGAGTACCACTGTTACATTGGTTCAGCCTTTGTCCTTTGTCTCACCATTTTGTTATCCCCCTTCCCTTCCCCAACTCAGATAAATGTATATACCAAAATCAGGGTACCAAAATCAAAAACAGTGACAATTGGGAATAAACCAAAAGGAAAAACAAAATGAAGGAAAAAATAAATAACTTCACACAGTCTATTAAAAAAAAGACAGAGCTGGAAAGGAGGCTCAGTGGTAGAGTGCTTGCCTTGCATGCATGAGGCCCAGGGTTCCTCAGCACTACATAGTAGAAAAAGCCAGAAGTGGTGCTGTGGCTCAAGTGGTAGAGTGCTAGCCTTGAGCTGAAGAGCTGAGGGACAGCACCCAGGCCCTTAATCAGGCCCAATGACTGACATAAAATAAGTAAATAAAAATAAAGACAAAAACATCCTCTTGTTTCCATATCTCAGAGCTCATTTCAAAAAGCATCATTTTACATGGTCATACATACATAGCTATTGAGCTATTGTGATCTTCTGCTAGGACTAGTCTAGACATAAACTAATTATTACAAATGAGAGAAACCATGGGGCCTATGTTCTTTTGTGTTTGGCTCACTTCACTCAATATGACTTTTCCAAGTTTTTCCATTTCCTTACATATGGGATGATGTTATTCTTTCTGATAGAACCATAGAATTTCATTGTGTATATATACCACATTTTCTTGATCTACTTCAGGTCATCTGGGTTGGCTTCATAAAGTACATACCTAGCAAGATCAATAGAAACCCCATAGATTGGGAGAAGATCTTCTCTAGCCATACAACAGACAAGGGCTCATATCAAATATACCTAGAGATCAAAAAATTAACTCCCCCATAACAAATCCTGAAGGGAAT